TAAAAATAACTGATGTCAATAAAAAAATAAAAGCAATAGTATATAACAATTAAAAAAGAAATCACTTTATAAAAAGAAGGAAAGTTCAAAATGTCAACTTTTTACAGAGAACCCACAGTTCAGTTTTACTCAGAGTTAAAAAAAAAAAAAAACCCAGCAACTTTTGCTCAGACTAGAAGAAATTCAGCCATCAGTTTGGAATCTGTAACTCAAACTACACATGTAATGATGACAGTATCATGCTAACACAACTGTTTTGCTGCTGCATTTGTCTATTGTTTGTCTAATATTAACGATTATAAACAGAGCAGTGCAACTAGTATTTGGAACAATCGTTAGAGTGTTACAATGTCCAGCACAAATTTCACTTCTCTTCACACCACAGGTTCTCCTTGCATACCTCAGCTTCCTCTTCTTCAGTAAAGTCATTTTTGATACTAAAAATCTTGCAAAACTCCTCAGTTTTCCCCTTCATCATATTGGTGACAGTCTTGCATGTAACATCAAGCAAGCCTTTGATGTCTAGGTAGTTTGCTGCCAGAATAATTGCAAAAAGGGTTCCTTGGTCAACTTTCAGGAATTCTTTGTCCCAAACAGGGATGAGATCTGTTCACTTTTCTTTGTTCTCATCATCCTCAGAAGGGTCATCCTTGTGGTGTGTGTGCCACTGAATGACCTTTTCAATATGGCTGCATTAACATTTGGTAGAGGAACTGCATCATCTCCATCATTCATTCCCAAATCTTCCAACATGGTCTTGTCACAGACTGCTTGGCAATTTCAACATCAACTTCAAATATCTCTCCATCAGAACTCTGCAACTTAATTGAAGACATGGTGTTTGGTTTCTAAAAGACTGTGGGTTGGAGGCAGATGTGAGGAAAATGTTTCTACCTGTTGGAGAAAGGCAGTGGAGGAAGAAGCCACTCACTTTCCTATCAATTTCACTGAAGAGTCTGAGAAGAATTGGCATTAAATCTTCTATAAATTTCTTGCATAATTTAGCAGTGAATCCAACAGGACTTGGGATTTTCTTTGTTGGGAGGTTTTTAAAATTACATTTTCAATTTCATTCACTTATATTGGGTTATTCAAAATTTTTATTTTTTGATTCAGCTTTGGTGATTCATATGTATCTAGGCATCTGCTATCTTTTTGTTTCCTATTCTATTATAGTAATGATTTTTGAAGTAGGTACTGATGAGCTTCTGAATCTCTATTTTCGTTTGTAAATATTGTTTAATTTCTTCTTTAACTTTATTTGTCAGCATGTTCCATGTGCTAGTATATGGTGTACTTTGGAGAACAACCTATGTGCAGCTAAGAAGAATGTGTATTCTGACTGTTGTTGGATAGAATTCCTCAAAAAACTAGGATTAAAGTCCCACTCAATCCAGTTATTACCCTACTGGGTATTTTTACAAAAGAACTAAAAATAGCATATCACAACAATATATGTGCACCCATGTTTATAGTAGCACACTTTACTATAGCTAAATCTTGACTTTTATACCAGGGATCAAACTTGGGACTTTGCACTAGCCAGGCAGGTGCTTATGCTGCTGAGTTATATGTTCAGCCCTATAGCTTAATATTAAAAATTCAAATGCCCATCAACTGAGGAATGGATAAAAATATGTGGAATTTTTACACAATGGAGTATTACTCAGCTATAAAAAATGAACTTGAAGCTTTTATAGGTGAATGGATGCAACTAGAGACCATACTCACACGTGAAATAAATTAGATCCACATGTGCAAATATCGTATTATCTCACTAGTGTAAGAACCTGAAAGAGTAAGTAAAATCAGAGAAGTATGATACTATGAAAGGGAAAGAATCTGTTCAAAGGGAAGGAACAATAGGGATAAAGAAAAGGACAAAAGAAAGACAGAGAGAGAGAGAGGGAAAAAGATATATTTATGTACATATACAGGGTAGCTTGGATAATTGTACCGCTGACTTCTGCTGATCTACTGAAAGGAGTAGTTACTGCTTATTTTTTTCTTCTCCTTTTTATAAAAAAAGGAGAAGAAAAATATTTTATAACTTTTTTCATGCTTTCATTGAGAAATAGCAATGAGACAGTTTCAAATCAAATTGGTAGGACAGTTTCAATAATTAACACGTTGCATACATTCTTCCTAGTGGTTAATTGCTGTACAAGATGTGGATATGATATCCTATTTACAAACACCATTAGAACAAATCCCTCTATTCATTAAGAGAATGTAACTATGTATTTATCCTAAACACTTTGAATACACAGATAACAAAATGGACATTCATCTGTATCCCCTTTGTTTATTAAGTTCCATTATTTGAATATCATAGGTGTGTAAACTCAGCAAAGTATTCCAAAAGAGTCCAGTAGCCCATAATAGTATTGGGTCTTCCACTTGACTGGCAATGTCAGAAATTGTTGACCTGAGTCCCCTATAGCTCAACATAACAGCATGGCTTTACTTCTTACATTTCGTTTTTATACTTTTCTGCTGGATGGTTAAGACCAAGGTAAAGCAGGACCTATGCAACAAGAGTTGTAGCTTTTGGGTCTGATAAGGTCAGTGAAATCCCCTCAGGATTTATCCTGAGCTCCTGTACCAACATATAACTTTTAAAAGTATTTTTACCAATTTTTCATGCTTATACAGTAGTCCCTTGCTATTTTCCAGTTCATCTTTCACGGACTCATTGTTTTACAAGTTTTCAAAAAATACTAATCTGAATTTTTATCATGGATTTTTTTCTACATCATGGGATTTTGCAGTAGTGTGCAGTATACATATATTGTTAAAATTAAGTAGGTTTATGAGTTTAGAAAATGGTTAATAACATTAGAAGTGTTTTTAAAAGTGTGGGAAAGGTTTGTAAGAGTATGGGAAGGGCTTATACAGCATGCATATATATATATATATATATATACATACATATATATATATACATATACTTATATATATGCCTATATATGTTTTATAGAGCCTATATATATACATATATATTAACGTATATATACACTAAAATAAATATAACGTATCTACTTTGCTAATTTTCACTTACTGTGGGAGTGTCTGGAACATAACTTCCATGGTGAGGGATCACTGTATCTGATAATTTAGACAACTAATTTGAAGATAGCATTATGCAATATAAAAACAATTAGTGAATTCCTATCATTTTGTTTAGTGAAATTCTGCATAGTTTCTAATTTTTTTAACTATGTTTTGTCTTTAAAACAGAAAAAATGTGGAAAAAAATTAAGCATTTCCAGAAGCCTGGCAGAAACAAATTTTCTCTGAAAAACTACCTATTAAATAATTCCAAAAGATAAAAGTTCCAAGTAAACGCGAGACCACTTACACATGCAAATCATAGAACACATAAGAGACACTAGAAGGAGCTGTCAGGAAAAATAAAAGACGATGGAAACTGTCCTACAAATCCTTCAAATATGAGAGGTATATTGTTTTTTTGGTACCAGGGACTGAACCTTGGCCTTGCCAAGCAGGCACTTAAGCCGCTGAGCTATCTGTCCCCAGCCCCAGGAATATACATTTAAATAATGAAAGGAAAGCTTTAACGGAATAAAATGTGGAAGGATGTATTCCATTCATAAATATTTTAAAAACGGAAAACTTTAACATCATGATTTCTGGAGAAATACACACAGTTTGTATACTCAATAACAGGAAATTATTAACCCCAAAGACAAGATCATGACTACATCTGGGAGGTATGTATGGGGTACAATCTATGAGGGATACACAAGCATTTCAAATGTACTGGAAATATTTTATGTTTTAGGTTACACTGATATGTACTGCTTTTCTTCAAACTATACATATATTTTCTACACAGTTGTCCCTCACTGTCTATGAGGGCTGGATGCCAGCACACTCTGAGGATACTATTAATTCATGCATGCTCAGTACCTGGGTACCTAAGATTACTTCTAATGCTTAATATAATATAAATCCTACATTAATAGTTGTCACACTGTGTTTTTATGGAACAATAAAAAGATGTTAGAAAAAAAAAAAAGATGTTAGGTACAAGCACAACTCTTTTCCTGATTTTTTTTTGGGGGGGGCAGTACCAGGGAATGAACTTTCCTAAGTATTTTTAATCTCGTTGAATCCACAGATGCAGAACTTATGGATGCCAAAGGCTGACAATGTATCACTTTACATGGGTAATATCATTCACAAAAACATTTTCAATGACAATATACACATCACTGTTTTATGATTCTGCTTAAAACTCAAGCCAGCTAAAAGAACTTTAACTGCTAGATAATGTACAGACATGAAATTTTCCAAATGAACCCTTACCCTATGTAGCTTTTTCAGTATTTCTAGAAGAGTTTTCACATGACAGTTATTCACATCATTTTCACTCCAATAACGCAGCTGACAGCTGATAGCGCTTTTAAACATCTGGACCAGGTTGCTAAAACCAGACTCTTGCAAAGCTGCCCAATATTCCTCTGAGGAATACAAAAATAGCAAATGTAGTAACTTCTACGATGTAGTTTTTCCTCTTGAATTCTTAAAGGTAAAAAAGGATCAATATTTCCCTCAAATCACAACAAAGTATTATAGCATACATCATAGTTACAAAGACATAATTTTAATAAATTATTCAGTAGGTAATACAATCGATAATTACTGCACAGGTATTTAGAAAGTACTCTTCATGTTAGATTTTTTTAAATCCTGGGAAAATTCCTTGACTGCAACAATGAATGAAATTTTATATCTTCAACTTACATTCGAATAGTTAAGCAAAACCAACATGCAATTTGTACACAGAACAAGCACACAAATGACCATGTTAATTGTTGATGGCAAGATACAGAATATGTAGGTAATCACTGACTATTTCAACTTCTATATGCTTGTGAAATGAAAATTTGGGGACCAAGGATCTCACAACCAAGCCATACAATACTATCTCAAAATTTCAGATGGACACAGTAAATTTTATAGCACCCTTAGAGTATGCTAAGAACATAAGCACAAAAATGCATTTGTAATCATCTAAGTTTTTCCATAACTTTACTAGGTGTATCTTACTATTGAGAAGACAGGGAAAATACTGTCAAGTATGACCAACAATCTTACCCATAACTTTTAATGACTGGTCACTCATTTTACAAATCATCTCTGCAAAGGGGACCACCAGGCTCTCCCAGTTGTTAAAATCATGCATCACAGGACATTCTGGGAGAAGGATGAAAACTTCTAGAGCTTCTCGGTGTGGAGAATGAAATGGCAGGTTTTTGAGCAGATTATCCCTGAGACAGGTGGTTATCTGTAGTCAGGAAAAATAAGGGAAAATGAATTCAAACCTTAGAAGGAACTGAGTGAAACTTATTCTAAAGAACAAGGTATGGAGCCTGGGATTTCATTCCACTAGGAAATTGAAAGAATCATTTAGTTTCTATAAAATCCATGTTGACAAACCTTTTTTCCTAGCCTCCCAATTATTGGAAGTCCAGGTATGTGAGACATGTTCTCCCCATGCAACTGTTGGGTATACGAAGGAGATTAAGAAGAAATCACATACGCAAGAGACACAGGGCGAACAACTGAGAACAAATACATGGCCCTCTTAATAATTACTACACTACATTTTATGTTCCAGTTCACAATGTCACACCTTTTCTCCTGGAACTTATGATTCTCCTACTTCAATCTCTCAAACAGGTGGGATTACAGGAGTGAGCCACGACAAACTGCTCACATTTTTAGGGGGCAAGTGGGTGAACAGGTCTTACTATGTAACTCAGGATGGCCTTGTGCTCACAGCAATCAACCTGTCTCAGCTTCCTAAGTTGGATGCACTATCAGGCCCATCCACTCACACCTCAGAAGAATGTGTTATAACCCAAGGAAGCAAAATAAAATAAAAACCAAACCAAACAAACAAATCCAACATGGCTTATCTTCTTGGAAGATTGTCTATCTTTATCATGTCTGTTAGTGTACAGCCCTTCCAATCTCTTTTTGTGGTTTCCAAAACTTAGAATACAACTGCTCAGGAAAAGCTCAAACTAAACTCTGAGTTTTTGTTACATGTAATCACAACACTAATTATTTGTTGGCATTAATCATTTGCTTAAAAACCCATTATGATAACAAGCTAGTACTTAAGGAGTACTATGTGTCATACAGTATATATTCATTGGCCATTTAATCCTTGCAGCTTCTTTAGAACACAAGATTTATGATTAACCCCTTTTGATATTAAGAAATCTGTACTTTAGAGAGTTTGTCACATGGCTACATGGAATCTCTCTTAGGTATTTGATTCAAATTCTTTAAAGTATGAGATACTGGGCAAATGAGACCTCTAAATGTGTAAATTCTTATATTTAAACATTATATTGGCTTCTCATTGTGAGGTCAGAGCTAACATGTATCTGATAACTATTTTAATATCTCACAGTACAGGACACTCCTACCTCTCTGCTCATTAGCCATAACCCAAACCTGCCACCCTCTTCCAACCTTTAGAACCATGTGATCATTATCAAGCCACTTAGGTGTCTCCCAGACCATGCCCTAGGATTCGTTCTCCTGGCCACATGGAAGACTGTTCTTCCCCAGGTAGCCACCTGAAAACTTTCCCTTCTTACACCACTTTATTTTCAGTACCCTATGTAGAGCTGACCATTTACTGACCTAATAATCCCTGAATCCATCTGAAATTCACCATGGACCAGCTATGGTCTGAGCTAGGCACTAGGGAAGACAATGTCCTGTAAAGCATACCCGGTCTTCATAGTAATACTTGCACATATGTGTCTGTCTTCCTAACTAAACCAATATCTTCTAAAGGATACAGAGAATATCTCCCATTTTTCTTTTTCTTTTTTCTTTTTTTTTGCGGAGCCGGGGACTGAACTCAGGCCCTTATGCTTGCCAGGGAAGCACTTATTCCACTGAGCAATCTTCCCAGCCCTTCATTTTTCATTAATAGTCATTACTACATATGGCATATACAGAAACAGAGGGAGATCAAAGTACAATACCAAGTATTCAAAAATGAAAGAATACCATCTCCAGATGTAAATACTGTAGGGCTTATAATCAAATTATCCGCATCTGAAATAGGCAAAGAATGTCCTCCCTGTGGGTATGTCATGGGCACATTATACCCTATTTTTCTGGCACAATCAAGTAAGCCAGAAGGGTACTTTGTTCCTTCAGATGCACGATTGCCCTTCTATTTTTGGTGAACATTTTATGGTTGTATTCAGTGACAAGTGCTCAAAATTTTCCTGAAATTAAATTATATAGATCCCTTCTGATAAATTATATCAGAAGGATTTTAATTAATCAAATCAAAGAGCAGAATCAAATACTGAAAAAATAGGTCTTGGATGGTTCTTGGACTAATATTACAGGTACCACTAAGTTCTAGAGTCGTGATAAAGGGACATAAGTAGGTTTCCATTTTACTTCATACCGCTAACTGCTCCAGGCTCTCCTAAAGTCAACCATATACCCTTGAGAAAAGTGTGAGACTTAACTTTCAGCTAAGATAGAGTATGGGTGTATGGCTGTGGCAGGCAAAGCAAAAGAACCTTGGCAAAGGACCCAGGGAGAATGAGGGGGTGATAGGAGCAAGACTAGGACAGACAGAATGACAGATACAGAAATAGGGAAAAGAAGGGTGGTAGCATAGGACAGGAGAAAAAGAGGTAAGGGGAGAGAGAGGGAGAGGGAAAAGGAGAATGAGAGAAATGAAAGATGGGGGTGGCATAGGAAAAGAGAGAGAAGGGGAGGAGAAGGACTAGGAGGGGAGGGAAGAACTGAAGTGGGGTGGCAAGCACCGAAGTACCATCCCTATATCAACCAGTATAACAGAACAGGAAAATAAAATAAAACCTGCCTCAAGAAAGACTAAATATACAAAGAAAACATATTTGAAGCATCTAGAAGTGGAAAACAGGAGACATTAGTAGCAGTGTTGGAGCAGGGAATATTTAAGCAATGTTGAAGCAGGAGTAGTACCATAAAGATCAAGAACACTCTAGAGCTTTCAGAAGAGGAAAATATGCAATAGAATAAGGTACGAAGAAACAAGAGTTCTTGATGAGAGAGAAGTTCATATCAGAAAATAGTTACTTCTATAGCAACCCTTACGAGAACTGTACATAAAATATTCTCACTCAGTTGCAAACTCAACAAATCCTTAATTTACTATAATCCTAAACTGAAAAAATTTCCTTTAGAATGTATATGTATGTATACATGAACATGTGATCTGTATAGATGAACTATTTATACTATCTATAACCCAGGTGACTACTGTACTAATGTAAACATCCTAAATGGCAAACTCCTGAAAGCTAGCTCAGTTTAACTCAATGTGAATGAACTAGTCTCGGAGAATCTCTTAAAAGAAAATACTGGAATTTTAAAAAGTCTTATAAGAAAAATTCTGTGGCCTTTTCTTTCACCGTGTTAGTAATCCAGTCCTTTTGAGTTAGTTTCTTGAAAGTATTTCTTGCGTTATTTAAATCCAAATGAATACACATTGTTTCTGCAACCACTCTGTAGAAGAAAAATGATAAATAATTGAGTAAGATGAAACTCCAAAATCAAGTATTTAATTAAAATCTATCTGTAGGCAAAGTTTCTTCTACAGCTTACCCTATTTTAATAAAATTACATTTTTTAAAATTTTGTAATAACTATATGGAATGGAATAAAATGAAAAATGGACAAAAATATCAACTATGAAGCAATATAGAGATCAACATAATCTCTCTATGTAAGCACCTATGCACAAGCACACCAGGAACTGAATCCAGGGCTTTGAATATACTAGCCATACACATTCTACCACTGTTATACCTCCAACCTAGCCCCAATTTTTGTATAAAAATATGTATGTACCAAATCTGATTCTTGTTTTTATTTTTTTCAAAGAAGGTCTCACTGTTTTCTGATCTACCCTTGAATTTGTAGTTCTTTTGCATCAGCCTCCCAAGTTCCTCACATTACAAGTGTGTGAAATAGCACCCAGCTGGTAATTTGTTTTTGTTTTTTGTAGTACAAGGGGCTAAACAAACAGTCTCAAGCATACTCGGCAAGCACTTTGCTACTGAGTTACATCCTAAACTCTTCTAATTTAAAAAAATTGAGACATGATTTTTCCCCTGGTACTACCAAACAAATAAAAAATAAATAAATTAACAGTACTAATAAATTTTTCAGGATGGTCTCATACCTCTAATCCTCCTGCCTCAGTTTATCAGGTAGGTGGAATTATAAATTTATACAATTACGTGCACCTTAGAAGACAGATTATAGAAATTTAAAATTTGATTTTTGTGTGTATTTGCTTTTTCTATGTGCTAAAAGCCTTTCCTGTGCTAGGTAAGCAACTGACCACTAACCCATTTTACCACCTTGATGTATTTTTGACATTTTATTCAGCAAACTGATACTTGTTTTTTTTAAAAAAATAATTTATAAATAGATAACTGACTTTTTTGGCCTAGAACTATTTGTATTTTTTTTCCCTAGGTCACTGTATGCTTTATTTACTGTTTAACTACCAATACAGATATCATGCATAATTATTATATAATGCACTTAACATTAATATTATTTATATGTATACAAGCATAAACTCGCATGGAGAGCAAGGGGTATTACCATGTGAAGGAATGCCACACTTCTGCACTTTACAGAAGGATTTAACAAAGTCCTCCTTGAAGTGCTGTGTAGAACTATTTTTAAATGTATGTAGTCTTAATAGAATCTTAATTTATTAAATGAATTACCTTTCCCTTAAGAAACTTCCAGTCAGACAAGCAGAGGATGAAAATATCTCTCGGATTTCCCTACATTAAGAAAAAGTCATAGGTTAAACCAAATCATAAACTAAACTATGCCTCTTAAAGAATGAGACATGATAAGTAACACATGCTATAATTGTTCCTCTTAATTTCTTCCTCAATCTTTTTTTTTTTTGGGGGGGGGGAAGGTCTTGCTATGTAGTTAAGGCTGGACTTGAACTTACCATGTCACCCAGGCTGGCTTCAATCTCCCTGCAATATTCTCACCTCAGCATCCTGGGTACCAGGGTACTGGTATGTACTATCTTACTTGGCTGTTCTCTCTCTATCTTCTGTTTATGTACTACCCTGGCAGCTCAAAGTCTGCTTCATTTGCTAAATTTCAAAATCTCAGTGACAAACATGGAAACAGAAATGTACAGAGTTCGATTCCTAGTACCACAAAAAAAAAAAAAAAAAAAACAGAGGCAGAGAAACCTCAGGGAAAGAATGAAAACCTTGATCTGGAGTCAGAACCTTCCAGGACAAATAAAATACTCATTTTCCACCTGACAGTCACCAGACCTATTTATCAATAAAATACTCATTTTCCAAAAGGCCCTATTTATCACTGTTCTATTGAAGTGGGAACAAAACTATCAAATTAAAGAAATCTTAGCAGTATAGAAATGCTTCATCATTTCTGCTCTGCATATTATAAAAAAATCATTTATTTAAATGTAATTAGCAGAGGGTCTACAGGGTCTCACTATACAGATACAACTTGTAGCGGTCCTCCTGTTTTCAGCTTCCCAAGCACTGGGATTACAGGCATGCACCACCATGCCCAGTCTCAATCACTGTCTCAGTGCACCCCAGGGGGCAAGGCTGGCACAGCACACCAGGGATCGAACCATGGTCCCTGTGTCTGCCTAAGCAGTCGCTTTAATTCGCTGAGCTATCTGGCTGGCCCTCTGCATATTATAAAACAACTTTCCTGTACAGCTATTTCCAGAGTATGAAAGCAAGATTTAAAATTATTCCTAACAGAAAAATGACTAGAAGAAGAACAATCTTTAGAGTATAGAAATTCTATGGTTTAGAGCAGGAATGCCCTAACTTGTCAGTTGTAAATTGGAGGTACACAAAACAAATCTCAGAGCAGGAGTTGAGAAATGTCACAAAATGTATTTCCTGCTGAGAGTCATGGTATATGGAAATATATTGAAGGCCTTGGGAAGTCCTATGGTAAAGACAGCTGTCCTCAGGCTTACAGACTAATAGTAATGACTACCTTTAAGTGTTACCTTGGCTTGGATATAGTATCCAGATAGTTGGTAAAAACTATTACAGATGCTTTCAATGAAACATCATTTTTTAAGGTACCACTAACATTTAAATCAGGAGACTTGAGTAAACCAGATTATTCCATACAATGTATGGGTGTCTTGCATTCAATCAGCTGAAGGCCTTAAAATTAAAAAAAAAAAATCAGCTACTCAAGAAAAAGGAAATTCCATTTCTAGACTGCCTTTAGACTCAGTCTACAACATCATCTTTTCTCTAGGTTTCCTCCCTGTGTGCCAATACTAGAGATTTATATTTTCCAAACCCAAAATTATATGAGTCGAGTGGCTCAGGAAAATCTCAATCAATCAATCAATCTCTCTCTCTTGCTCTCTCTGAAGACAGAATGATATAGCCTATTGGTTCTCTCTGTCTGGAAAACAATGGTTAAAGCACTAGAGGATCACAGAATCTTACATCCATGTTATACTGTACAGAAGCAGTTGAGAAATGCTGTTTTAAAGATAAGCATGATCAGATACATGGCATGTACATACCTTTTGGTATTCTGCCACTGTTTAGTTCCCACATCATCAATCCATCTCTTTACAGTCCCTTCATTCAATGTAAGAATTTTCCTCCTCAGATTAACATAGGAGTTCTGTATGCAGACAAAGACATCAAACATAATTCCAACACATAAGACAGAGGTATCCAACTTTTACGTACAGTTTAAGAATAGAGGGTAGTACTACATGTTGTTTGTGAGATGGGGAGTATATATCGCCAAGACTGATCTCAATCTCTACTATTTAAGTGAATTATTTTTGTCTCGGTGTTTTTAAAATATGGTTAAGATAGCCTGTGACAATCACACAGTGAGACTCTACCAAAAAGTCATAAACATTTGCGTGGTTGCCACTTTCTTATCCCATAGGGCTTAGACTCAAAGGAGCGAACTCTGAGGGTCCCAATACTCAGCACTGTACATAACTATAACCCAATTAAACAGAAGAATGGGTAACCTTGAGAGGAAGATCCTAAAAAGCTCAGTGTGTGAGAGAAAGTCATGGGCTTAGGCTGAAGCTCATAATCTTGATTTTAGTACTCCATTGGTTAGCATCATCATGTTTCAAATCTATCAACCTGTCAACTCAACAAGACACCGACTGATGCTATTAGCACAGGGCCCCCCAAAGGTGTAGGCAGAATCTAAGGAAATCACCAGAGGAAAATCTGTTGATTTTTGTGAGTACAAATGAATGTAGTTTAAATAATAAAGGATAAATAATGTCCATCTATTGCCAAAGAGTCTAATAAACTGATGATTTTTTATCTCACCAAACTGATAATTTGAATTCACCATTTTGTTTAAAATACCAACTTACAGAGGATCTTTACCTTTTTATCAATCCACAGTAAAATGCTTTGATTCCCTCCAGCAATCATTATCAATTCTTTTCCTGAATGATGGCTTTCTGAAAGGGATGTACACAAAAATGAGAGAGTACACGAACTATTTAGCATAAATGCACCAACTCCAATTTAAGTAATTTCCAATTCATCTTGATGTCTTCATTTCATCTTTGTAATGGACAAACACTGAGCACTATTCCCACCATTGAGAACAGGTATACATACACACCAAGCTAAAGTCTAATAGCAAACATTGATTCCTAAGGTTAACACATGACAATTTAATATGCATAATATAAAAATACACACCAATGTATCATTCATTATTTCTTAGTTTAGTTCAGCTCCCCCAACTAAAAACCACCATCTCAAGATGTAACTAATGATGTGAAGAGTATGAATGAACAAATCAAGTCATGTAACCTCATTTGAAACCAAAGATAATATATGAACTAATTAATTTCCCCTGAAAAAAAACAAAAAATTCAAAGTCTTCTTTGAAGCTTTCAGGAACAAGCAACTGAACTGCTCCAAGGTGCTTCTTCTAACACATTTCAGAGCTCAGGCTCTGGGTTACAGTAAACAGTTAGATTGTAGCCAAACCACTTCCTGGTTGAGAGCTAGCACCTTTGAAGAAATGACTTTGCTCTCCTTATTTCTCATCCTCCAATTAGATTAGGTGACAGAGTACATCTCCCAAACCACCACAAAGACAACAAAAAAGTTAAGTGTGGGGCACAATTCCTGCAAGTGTGCCCATGTTGGCTGTTCAGCATTCTGAGGGTTATACAAGATGATGGGTCAATGAAACCAGCTAGGAAAACCAGTCAGCCTGGAAGTAAGTCTCTGACAAACTGAAATAAGGGTATCGATAGGCCTCTGAATCCACATGTTTTACTTTGTCAATGATCAATTCTATTTTGAAGGAGTAATAACAAAATCGTTATTTTAACTTGAGAAAGTAGTTTAAATCCTTTAAATTACATACAATTTAAAACAAGAAATCATTATTGAGAGAAATTCTCTTTAGATTCATGTCTTGCTATATTATACAATTAGAAAAAAATCACTTCTTTAACAAGCTATTACACCAAACCCCATGCTTCTAAAGAATTTACCAAACTGGAGCTCTTCATTGGATGGTGATTTCATAGGCATTGGCATCAGCTGATTATGGTTCCCACCATGTCCTAACTGTCCTTTATCTCCAAAACCAAAGGAAAAGACCTTGCTCAAATCAGAGACATAGGCAAGTGTGTGCCACCTATTAAATAAAAGCATATACTACTGTTAATGCTCAATTATCCCCAATGACAGCATTTAGCAATACTGTAAAATGCCCAAATAAAGTTACTCTGAAAAAGTGAAAGTAACTGAGGATAAAACCCATTTGGAGGGGCTGGCAAGCTAGCTCAGTGGTCTAAAGCGCCTGCTTAGGCAAGCCTAAGCAAAAGGGCAGGGACTGCGGTTCGATCCCCGGCACCACATGCCACACTAGCCCCATCCCCAGGGTGGGCTGAGCTGGCCACAAAAAATAAATAAATAAATAAATAAA